AATTACTTTCAAAAGGATCAAAAAGGGAGGAATCGCAAGAAAGCTAAAAGAATAGCGATGCGGAAACTGAAACTTGGTGTCAACAACAAAATCTGTTATTTCTTCAAAAAAAATCCCCCAAAAGAAAAAGTAACTTCAGAGCAAGAAAAAAGACCAGGACCGTGTGAAAATCAGATTTAAAAATTCAGCCAAAGACTTGAAAATCTAACCAAAAGAATTCCAGATGTAAAACTTAAAATGCAGGAGAAATATGACCAAGACCAAAATTAACTTTAAAAATTAGACCAATCCTAGACCAAAGAAAACCACCAAAAAAAAATGAAGGTAAGGCTAAACCAAACTAAAGCCAAAAAAAAAAAACACAGCCTTAAGAAAAAGCTAAAGATTAATTAAATTCAAGCGCTAACTACCAAGTCCACCACAGGTCTGAACTTTCAGGGCAGACCTTGACTGGTATTAAATAGGTGTTGTCACTTCAAGTTCACCGACTGCCGACCTGCTTACTGAGACTGGGGCTCAAAGCATGCCCACAGTGCCTGGTCCAGTTGAATGAGTCATCATCAAGTAAACAATTACACAATGCAACTTTAGGATGGGTAGACTAGGGGGTGCTACTCCTATTCAGTGTGTGGACTTTTGCATCTTGTACAAAGCAAAAAAAGGTAAAATCCTCCCTGCTCCATGCAGGAAAAACCGTCACAGAAGTCAGTTTCCTGGTATCATGACCACCAGTATTGGACTGGCATCAAGGCCAAACTAAAAAATGCGTCATGCCCACACAACTTCCGTCATTTCTCACATTTCTGTGTGTGTGTGGGTTTCTCTTTTTTCATCTAGCCAAAAAAAGAACACAACAATATGAACATGCGAGCAGAAAAATGTTGCCTAATACAACAAAACGTCTCAAAAATGGTTGACTACCGGCACATTAAACATTTCGATTAAAATAACCCAAGCAGACTTCAATCCTCCGATTCCCATATGATGTGACATACACCCTCGGGGGTCAGCTAGGGTTCCAATTTCCAAGACATGCCCTGTACACGTACGTACGTTGTGAAGGAATCTACATTGTAAGTGTTACATTATAATATTCCAGCATGGTGACATAACCAACATGGTGCCAACCAGCTTTTAAAATGGAAGGGGAAAAACTATATTCTCTCCCAAACTGGTAAAGAGAGGTGGGCAGCTTATATTTACATGTACAGTACTGCCTTGACCCCAGAGAACTCATCAGCAGGTTTAACCAGTTACACAATCTTTATAATTCTCAGATTATCTCATCTTCCAATGGCCAAAAGGATTACATCACTCCAGTCTGGCAAGGAGCCAACCTGGCTGAAAGTGGCGGGGAAAGCAGCTCACATTGCGTACATGGGTACAGGTCTGGGCTTGATCAGGTAATCACATTCACAGAGGTCAAGGCACCAGGAGTTGACAAGTCTGCCACACTCCCAATAAGGATGGAATGCAAATTCAGACAATTATTTATAGAAGCACAAAATGCTGGGGGGGGGGCTATCTGCCACTGTTTACAAAGGGGTGTCGATAAACTCTGTATGATCTCACCTCCCTGTACCCTACATGAACCAGGATTTACACAACAGCAAATTTAGGTCTGCATGTATTTTGAAAAATTTTACTAGCACAAGGACAATGTTATTGTCTTGGGAACAAAAATGGCTGTACACATATTTCATCTTAAATGCTGGCAGAGTACACTACGGTACATTGGAAAGAGGATCTCATGAGACACACTCCTTGCTTGAATTGTTTATGGAAGGCAATGTACATGTACAGCAACCACTTGTTTACGCTTGTTTTTTCCCAAACAATTTGTTTAATTTCCTGTTTCGCCCTTCCGACTTTCCTTTCCACAATTAACCTTAACAATCCTCCATCCTCGCATTTCAATATGATTTTACATACATACCCTAGGGGGTTAGGGATAGGGATTTCGGGTTACCTACATGTGCATGTATAGGAAATGAAATCTCAAAGGACTTCAACATTTCCTCTTTGTATTAAAGCAACGACCGACAAACATTTTTTGGGTGAGAAGACGAACTTCTCACAACATGTTGGCCAATTGGCAGTGAGTCAACGAGACATCCTAGTTGCTGCAGGTGGGAACCTGGGTGAAGAACATGTTTGGCAATTGGCAATGAGACATCCTAGTTCCTGCAGGTACATGCAGATCCAGGACAAACAAATCAACAGAAAGTGGGAGACTGTAATATTGTGTCTAGCTATCCGTAATATTGTGTCTAGCTATCCAGCCTTTTATGAAGACAGTGGCAGACAAGATCAGATGTGTCACCACCTTCACCTCCGAGAGGTCAGCAAAACCACCATCACCTCTGAGAGGTCTGCAAAACCACCATCACCTCCGAGAGGTCTGCAAAACCACCATCACCTCTGAGAGGTCTGCAAAACCACCATCACCTCTGAGAGGTCTGCAAAACCACCATCACCTCTGAGAGGTCAGCAACAGGTCTAGCTAGTTACACAATCTTGTGATTCTCAGATTATCTCATCTTTCAATGGCCCAAATTTAGATTGCGTCATTTGGCCCTGGCAAGGTACCAACCCGGCTGAAAGTGGCGGGAAAGCAGCTCACATTGTATACAGGGTACAGGTCTGGGCTTGGTCAGGTAATCACATTCACAGAGGTCAAGGCACTAGGAGTTGACAAGTCTGCAACATTCCAAATCAGGACGGAATGCAAATTTGCAAAATTACGAAAGAACATTACAAAAGGGGTATCTGCACTGTTTGAAAAAGGGGTACAGTATTTATAAACTATTGGTAGATGATTTTTACATCCCTGTACGTTTACACCACAAACAGTCTGAACTTTTTTTTTAATGACTGGTAGTGGTACAATGACATTGTTACTGTCTTCAAGAAAATAGTTATGTTGGTAGATTACATTAGCGACAGGTTCTCGTGAGAGACACTACTAGCCTGCATGGTTCATGTGAGGCCGTGTAGGGCAACTGCTTGTTTACGCTGAATTTTTTTCCAAACTATTTGTTTACTTTCCTGTTTCTCCTTCCTGGCTTTCCCCCTCCACAGTTAACCCTAACAGCCCTCAATCCTCTCCATTCAAAATGACACGGGGGGATTAGGGACGGAGGGCTTAGGGTTACCTGTTCCTCTACCTACATGAAATCTCTCAGGACTTCATAATTTCAGCTTCTTTTCTGAAGCAATGACTGACAAACTTTTCTGGGTGACAGTGCAAACTTCTCACAAAATATTTACCATTGGCAACGGGCCAACTGAGACAGTGCTAGATCAAGACAAAAACAAACAAACAAAAGGAGACTGATTTGGGTCTACACCCCCTGCTTTGAAGAAAGTGGCAGAGATCAAAGGTGTCACTGCCCAACAGAGATTGCACAAGCATGCCAGGTGCTAAACTCTATTTCGGCAGATTGCCAGGGCTTATTGTGATTTTAGGAAGTTGAACACAAATGAAGGGGTGGACAGCTTGTATAGGCGGATGTACATGTATGCCACAGGGTTTTTTTTTTCTTTCTATGGTCCAGATTTTAGAGTTCAAGAAGGAATTAAATCCCCCGTGTTTGGCAGTACAAAATCCCACCAGCAGAACACGTTTCTGTAATGTACTGGGTTGAGAATGGAATTTGAAATGCAGGATTTTTGGCTGGCACTTTTAAATTACATATAAAAAAAAAAGGAATTGAATAAGGCCAAAATCCTGCACGTATGTATGTGTATGCTTTTTACTTCTGTGCGGCACCAACCAAGTAGTCACAATTTTGGAGGCAAAATCAAGTTTTACACTGTGTCAGTGCGTAAGAAATTGCACGAGACACAAAGTAAGGTTGTTCTTGCATCTACAATACATGTACATCTGCGCTCTACATGTACTATGGGCAGGGAACCAGTGCATACCGTACACATGTAGCACTGAAGCAACAAATGGACCAGTCCTAAGACGCCAGCATAAGATGTGTACATGTACATTCCTGTGAAAGAAGTCACAAAAGCTATTCTGTCGACCGATATTTACAAGAGATCGATGTACATGTACATTTTACTCGGATAAACTTTTTCAAGGAAAAAAAATGTTGCCTTTGAAGTGACTTTTTCATGCAAGGGCCAAACATGTTGTCCACGCTCGGCTGTCGGTTCTGTTCACCCACCGGTAACACGCACACATACGTGCACAAGTACAAAGACAATGAAGTACATGTACCGGGTACGACTGCTATACCTGCCGATAACATTTCCCTTAACTTTCAAGCAATCATCATCCATCTTATGTTCCTTTCGTCAAGAGTGATTTTTCAGCGTTTGGTAAAAGTGTAAGGAAGTTTCAGGAGCCGCAGGATATGTTGGGTACCAGTACTAGTCGCGCTGAGTCAATCAGAATAATTCACTAGTCAAATATTCGACCTTCAATGTCGATCGAATATCCGAAAATTTGGTCCTCCCCTTGACCAGCAGGTTGATGAACAAACCCATGTACACAAGATCAGCTACAATAATGCACACAATTGTACATTACAATCACTTTAATAGCTTCTCGCTTCTCACTTCTAGGATTACATGTATCTCTAGCCACGATTTCGCAAGTTTAACGGACAAACAGTGCTTCTTGCCCTGCTGAAAATTTCTATTCCTTTTAATATTTCAATCAATAATTAACTGTTTGATTCGTTGTAAGTCATTATTCTGTCGCTTTTCATTTGAATTTGCTTGAAACAAGTCTCCACAGTGGGATTTGTCTCATTCAAAATGAAGAAACTCAGAGTTCCTGTCATGAATTTTGCATTCAAATATTCAAATTTGGAAATAATATTCAAATATTCAGTAATGGATCAACTACTTGGATATTTGGATACTGGTACATGTACATATCCAATTGCATCTGTTACCAAAAATAAATTAGGGTCACGATCCTGTTTTCAGAGTTTGTCCGATTTTGGGGCTGTCGGGGTTGAGGAAAAAGAAAATAATCTTACCGGCCGAGGGGACTCTCACTTGTGTCGGCCGTGTAGCCACGTCCCATCTTGGATGCGTCCCCCTGTCTGAATCAGGACTCCGATCATTCACTGTTCCACGGTCCGGCCTCTGGAGTTTAGCTTTTCACGTCAAGTTTCTCTGATAGGCCTCATCAACCTTTAAAGGCACAGAACCATCGAGAAAGAGCTCAGCTGTCACGATGGCTGTTGGCTGCATAAATACTCTTCCCCCTCCCTCGATTACATGAACGGGCAAACTTTTGAACCCAAATTCTCATGTTTATCATACATCCGACTCGAGGGAACTCTAAGTGACTGACGCCGCGGGCCTCAGTGGACAATTTGGCCAGGAAAGCTCACCAGTACTTGTCTACGCTTAGGAACTCACACTGAAAGCTCAACAAAATTTGTCTCATTTTTCTTCAACTCTAATAGGTCAGTAAGACAAAAAAAAAACACAAGCAAGTTCAAAAAATGTCCAACCTTTTTCCCACTCTAATGGTAAACAGAATGTGCATACATCACACAACGTACGTACATGAACATGCAAAAATTAACAGACTGCTACTGACTGACCGAGCTGGGAGAGCCGCTGGTACCTGAACAGAACAGGTGCCCAGCTCCCGCTACCAATACAAACTCATGGCTTTCAATCTTTCCAATGAACAGCTCTATCTAATGGCTTGCCATTATGTTCACGTCCATGAACACTACATGTACGTGTTCACACAATCTGCACATACATGTAACTGCACATATACTTCAGGTAGTATACAGTTTATAAATGGCGATATGCAAATAGCCTGTCAGCACAACGACCAATGGCAGAAAAGCTGGTTGAACTGGCTCAGTGCCAAAAATTCCATGAAAAACATAACTTCTTTGGACACACCGGAAGGCAGGCAGCTCAGGAGTGAAGTGTACAGTGCTACGCACCCAACAATTGTCTGGGTTTTTCCATTCAGCCAAAAATAGCTCAGTTCACATCGTTATACATGTACATAATGTACAGTGCCTGTATTCTGTCTGTTCATTATACACGTTGAAACGGCCAATCCTGGATTCGGACAGGATGTGATCACGGGTGCATATCGCACCAATCATCTTGCAGACGATTTTTAGTACATCTACAGATAAACTGGAACACAGTACAGATTTTAGCGTCACCCTAAACCTTTTGGTTACTGAGTCCATGGTCCTTGTACACGTAGAGTAATAATTCTATAAATCCCTCCTATGCTACGCTGCATTCTCGACACCGTTGCCATATCAGTCAAAATCAGTCAAATTTCCTGTACATTTCCGTGTACTGGGGGAAATCAATTGGAAGGCATTTTTGACACTGTTTTGTCGGTTAAAACAGAAGGAAGGTTTTCAAATTAAATTAATTTTAATAATTATTTTTAATGGGTAAGTACATGTACGTTGGAACCTGTAAAGTGTGAAATGCATGTGTACATGTACTACATGTACATGTACATGCATGCCATCACTTGAGCTGTACATGTACATGGAGACAAAGTACAGTTTTTATCATCACTTACATACCGTTACATGTACATGTACAAGGTTCCCCAGTCAATGACATATTTAATTTACACACCCAAAAATGAACTACCTCTACCAAGCGGCTTAAGATTGCATTTGATGAAGTTTTAGGCTGGCTGATCTATACGCACGCAATGAGGAGTTTAAGTCCCTCTTGGGCTGCCAAAATCAGGAAAAGAAAATGCCCCTTCCCTTTGACAGTTGAACTGGGATTTGTCCCCGTTTGTTGGGGCGTTACTGAAACCAAAACTGATCAGCAATGACAGTCGTGTCCTTATCACTCTCTGAAACCTGTGGCAGTACATTTTCAGATTAGACAAGCCCATGGGACCTCTGTGGGTGCATTTGGCAGTCATAACCAAGAACTGGTTCCGTGGTAATTCTTCAGAGATTTTCTGTTGTACATGTAAGAGTAACTGAGCGACATTGAAATGTGATTGTTTAGCACTCAGACTCTGAAAGCGATGAACCAGAGAAACCACCCAACCAATTCTTGATTATGCCAAGGATTAAACCAAGGATCTTTAGGGAAAGGTCGCAGAATTAAAAAAAAGGACAAAAAGAATTTATTAATTAAAAGGTACCGGAAAAAATGCAAAAAACCAAAAGGACTACAAGACTGAAAAGACTAAAACTTTAAAAGGATTAAAACCAACCATGGAGGAAGGTGTCAAAATCAGTTTCAGTAATAGCTTCATCATTTAAGCAAGGGCCAAAGTAAATAAACAGGGGGATACACTGACAGAGAATTATAGGGGAACTCTAACACTAGAACTATTTTTATAGGGGAATGACTTCTACGAGAGACGCTTACCAAAAAAAATCTGACAAATTTCTAGCTCTGCCACACGTGCAATGTAACTACATGCACCATGGAGTTGTATCCAGTGTTCTAGCTAGGACCATTTAAGTGCCAGGTAAAAGCGTACTGAGTGCAGTTTTTAATGCTTTCTGATGCTTGAAATACGATCCAATTGGTACATTTAAATTTTCAGTGATATTTCAGTTCATTTTTTGGAAAATGGGTGGCAGAGCCAATTATAACCCTGAGGGCCGGGCAGAAATTTGCAGTGCCGGGAAGTGCCGCCCGGCGCCGCCCGCCGCGGCTAGAACCCTAGTTGTAACAAAGTACATGTACTAGTACGTAGTGAACAGTGTACCGGAAGTACATGTACATGTGACAGTCATGAGGACATTGTACAAATGTGCATGCATGCCCTTCAGCCTCACGTTACTGGCAACACGGACCCTCTTGGCTGGCAATTTGCCAATGATGTGCGCCAACCTTGTCCATGTGGGTGTTTGGCCATGCAACAATCCTCAAGTTTGCATTATAACCACTCAGTCCCAACTGAGTAATGGTTCCTACTTCCCCCCAAATTACAAGTCCCTTGGCATAATTCCAAGAACGAATCTAAATAAATGCACAACTGAGGACCAAAATATGAGTCACCTGTTCTGACGTGTGTCTAGGAAATTACATGTACATGTATGCCACTTCTCTGTCTACTTTTTGTCACCAATTTTTTAAGCAAACGCAAAAGTTCTTGTACTGGCATTCCCCAGTCAAATCACAGCCAAACATCAAGCATCTGACCTTGGCAACAGGCCAAGTTTCAGTGACCAGCCCACCCTAATCAGGGTCGCAAGCAGGTGACTTTTTACAGAAGTCTTGGAAGGGGTCATTGTTGCAAAACAGTCAAAAGTGGTACTCTTGGGTCACCAAAAGTAAGCAAGATTCACCAACCTGTTTCACTGTACATGTACACATGTATATGAAAAATCAATTTAGAAGAAGCTCTCTAATATTAGTAGAACAGAGATCAGCATGCCGAATTCGCCAATTGTGAGCATGCATAACGGAACATGAACTCCTCTAGATTCAAAAAGTGTGAGTACTACAATAAACCTTGATGACAAGTTGAATTTGAATAAAATCTGGTACACTGAGTTATCTGATTGCACATACAGGCAAACATAACAATTTGAATTCCCCAGACTAAAGACACCGCTGCTACACTTTGTGATTCAGGGCAAGCTTTTGCATAGCCACCACCATCTCTAGAATGAAGTGGTTCCTTCGTGCCCTTCTTGCCCATTGAAAACATTGTGCTGGTGCACGGCATCTCTTAAGCAAAGCTTACCCTGAATCACGAGGCATGTACATGTACACTGTAGACCATGGGCTAGAAATCGTAGCTTCACTGGAATTAGAAGTCTGTCCACATTTGAGTGGCAACATGGAATCACATGTTCTAGGTCAATATGAAGGTGCTGAATTCAAATCTACCTGTTGCCACCTCCTCAGACTGCTCCCAAGGTCACCACAGGAGGACACTGATCCCATTTTTGCTCATTTTGATCAAGGACAGTATTTGGGGCACAGTTTTCCCATTTTTTCATTAAATGCTTTTAAATTTGTCACAGGTATTATTTGTAACATTTCCGAAAGAAATATTACTATTTAATTATTTATGTGAACTCGTGGTTCTCAATCATTGGAATGATCAGCTCTGTCTACACGTAGGAACCTGTCATTATGTCCAAGTCCATGAACACTACATGCACAATAACAATCTACATGTATACCAAACACCACTTCATACTTAATGAATATGCAAATAGCCTGCACGTGTAATGACCAACAACAGACAACGTGAATGTGTACAAACTGGCCGAGTGTCGAAATGCCATGAAAAGCAAAATTTCCTCGGATGCTCCAGAGGGCAGACAGGATTCGAGTCGTACAGTGCACACTGGGCACTCAACATTATCTGGGTTTTCCCCATCAGCTAAAAATAGCTCAATTAATATTAATAAGCTCCTGCAGCACAGGACCTAGTCTAAAATGTACCAATACAATGTGTACAGTGCATGTACATGTACATGTGTTACTGTACATGAAGGCTTCACACAGGGTGAATAGTACAGCAATTGTCTCTTTAGAATTCAAATTAGATTTAGTACGTTCAAGTGAATCTAATTAGCCCTAACCATGCTGAACTCAACAAGGTTATGCAGGATTTCAATGGTCCCTAGAGGGTTAGGGTTTTAAAGAATTCAGGCGTACCAGATTTTATTCAAATTTAACTCGCAAAAAGGCTTATTGCTTGGCATTCTTTTGTTATGAGGTTTGACCTTTCTGGTTAAATGTACAGTCACTTCAGTAAGTCATAAAAAGACACACTGATCCTGTTGTCGATTCAGGAAAGGGGAAAATGCAGAAGTCACTGACACAGACATGAAACACATCGTGATAAAACTGGCCTCCACAAGTGACTAGTGTGATCTGTGAACGCTCTGTGTACATTACCATAGCAATTTCACAATTTGTATAAGGAGCCAGAGTACGGTAACTTTGGGGTTTTTTAAAGGGTTCTTGTCTAGTGTAGTACAGTGCAATTTGCAGACCCAAAATATGTACATGTACCTGTAGAAGCCACAACTGGGGTGACATGGCGCACGTGCACAGGTGGTGGGGGGTTACAATGCCTCTTTGACCAATAGGACGCCGCGCTTTGCCAAATACATGCACGCTTCAAGCTCGTAAAAGGAATGCGTGTGTGGGTGTTGTGCCACCGCAGTTATCACATCTTCTCGTATTAGTCTCCAGTGCGTATGAGGGTGCAATCTGCCATACCCTTTTAACAAAGTAAAAAAAAAAAAAGGTCCTTTCCTTCACTTGTCCCTTACTGCCCTCACAGGGTGCTGGGAAGGGCAAAAGCATGATGCAATTTTTATCAAGTGCTGACTGCACTGAGTCCATTCACAATGCTTTGCGCAGTCAAATCTGTGGGGAATTTCCTTCATGGAATTTGGTGGGAAGCATAAACTGCTGCCCTCCCCAGCACCCTGTATTGTAAGACCGTTAGGAACACGGGAAGGTTATTTTCATGGAAAGTGTGGACCCTGAGTTCCATACCTTCCGGCCCACTAACCCAAAATGGGAGAAAAGTTGCACCCAAATAATTACACAAGTACCCTGGAACAGTTCCAAGAAAGCAGGACACTGTCAATCGGGCAACCTAGACATGAGTTACAAATTCAGACGTCATGTGCAGCGTGCCTGAAGGCAATGCCCATAATGTAAGGTACATGTACATGTATGTGTCGCAATCTACACCAAGCCTGTCCGTATCCAAACAGAGAGAGCAAAATACCAGCAAATCACTTTGTTTTTCTATGTTTTCTTGAGAACTGTCTTTCCAATCTGTAGAGACATGCTTGGTTTGGTTTCAGAAGCCACAGTGACTGCTGATGAATCATTTAATATCGTCAAATTTCTGTGTTTGGTGACTCAGACTGTCATCGGGTTATTTACAAAAACAATTAAGCGACAGTTCAGATCAAAACTGAATGCAGAATTTATTCCCAAATTGGCAAATAGTGTAAACACTCCAACATGTACCATACCAGTGCGAAATAGGCACCAAACTGGTAGCCGTGACAACAATCATTTGTTTGGAGCATATTTCCCTCATCATTTAAGTCATGAACAGATTTCTGATCATGAGGTTTATTAAGAAAAGGACAGCAGCTCCCGAAGCAGTATGTAACAAGGACATCGAACAAAAAAGACACAGGTTTTTTTTTCAAAAGGAAACTGGTGCGACCTGTTAACAGTAGGGTGGGCCTACATGCAGTAAACAGCCATCTGATGAAGAACTTTGTGGCCAGGAACAAGCTTGCGCCACTTGTTTTAAGATTTTTTTTGTTAAATCGACATACCGGCAAGTCCACCTTAATGTAAGTTTTATTTGATCAGAATAAACATGAACATACATGTATGGGGTGTGTCTCCATCCACCTAATGCTCCATGCATTTAACCTGACTACCTTGGTATTAAGTTGGACCACAGAGCTTTAAAAAGGAGCAGCTCCATGATTGGACAGAACAGAAGGACTTTATACAACAAAAAACGATTCCCTTTAGGTTGGCCGAAGAACACGCACAGCATGTATCCAGTATCAGAAATGTACACATTGGTACATGTACACCAATTGACTAGGGCACCAGAAGCAACAACTGACTACAAGTAGAGCTCTGTAGGTGCAGGTCTAGTTAAGGTCAGAAATACAAAAGAAATACAAAAGCTACAATGAAAATGCAGCTTGTGCCGGTGCACAAGATCAACAACGTCACCTCTACAGTACAGGGTACCAACTACAATGTACACGTACATGCTCAAAACTGTGCATCGGTGTGCCACTACGTGGGTCACCAGCTTGCCACTGTACACGTGTGCCAACCCAATTGGTCACGCAACAGCTTCAGGACCCACTCGGCACAAACTAAGTAACACCCACCCACTCACCCCCCCCCCCCAAATAAACAAGCCCCTTGGCACAATTCCAAGACTCAGCAATAAAAAACTGGGACTCCAAAATGAGTCACCAGATCCAACACACCTGGTACCACTCCATGTACAATTTACAGGAAATAAAAAGTTCTACAAATTCAACCTTTCTCCTGACAAAACAACCAAGACACCAGTGTAAGCCCGTGACTCCTTTGTCTTCGTTCATTTCCTGACTCTGACGCAACTGCAAATATTCTGACATTCGCTGAGTCACATTACGGTCAAAATGCTAGCACCTGGCCCAGGTGAGAGGCCAAAATGCATTCCAGTTTAGGCAACCCATCTATCTGAACACGGGGTCCCAAGCAGGCAACTTTACAGAACTGTAAGGAGGGATCACTATTGCGCAAGAGTGAAAAAGTTTTGCTCTTGGGTCCCCATGTAGGCAAGCTCCACCAAGCTATTTTATTGTATTCCAAAAACCAATTTAACAGAAGCTCCATGATGGTTCAAACTTCAACGCCAATTTTGATTGGGCCAGTCAGTCAGTTGTTCAATAGTTTGTGAATTTGTTCATTGGTTTATCTTTTGTTCCCATTGTTTGTTTGCTTGTTTGTTTTGGATGTGAAGCAAGGTGACTTTAAACTTTAAAACATTTTCCAATCCTAACAGGAAGAGCACAGTATCACTATCAGGAAGTCACTTTATTTTTTTTCTCAAGAACTCCTGCTCCAATCTGTTGCGACATGCTTGGTTTGGTTTCAGGGGCCACAGTGAATGCTGATGAATCATTTAAAATCCTCAAATTTCTGTGTTTGGTGACTCAGACTGTCATTAGGTTATTTACAAAAAAAATAAGATACATGTAGACTTCAGATAACTATGCTAGTGGTGATTTCAAAAAAAGGCAAAGATACATGTCTGGATGTACATTTACCAGTACAACCTGGCTGACGTTAAGATAGTTCCAATTATTCATTTAGGTGTTTTTCTGTCACGTTATTCAAGTGGTTAATTAATTTAAGAAGAGAATATCCCCAAAGAGGATCCCCAAAACAATTCATAACAAGGACACAAAACAAGAAACATCCTTTTTTTTCATACAAAACTTGCGCAATCTGTGAACACACTGTACAATGAAGTGGGCCTACATGCAGTACTTGTCTGATGCGGTAGAGCCAGGGGTAATCCATGGAACAAGCGCTTACCAACTTCAGGACCACATCTGCATGTCACCCGCTCACCCCAACTGAGTAAAAGTCACCCTCCCTAAACATAAACGAGCCCTTGGCACAATTCCAACATTCAGTTTATGAGTTGTCGATCCGGTATACATGTACCCAACAGCATCATGTACACGCGCATACATGTACTAGAAACTCCTTGAATTACAGATAAAAATAGTTAAACCATTCTCCAAACAACCAACCAAGACACCAGTAGAGCTGAGTCAATTAAGCTACATGTACACTGCAATTCACTATTCGAATATTTGATCTTCAATTTGATCAAATATCCGAATATTCGGTTGCACTGACTGGCAGATTGTTGATGAACAAACCATACATGTAATTCAAAATCAGTTGCAATACCACACACATTTGTACATTATGATCAATATAACAGCTTCTCACATCTAGGACTATCTTCAGCCACAATTTAGCAAAATTTAAGAGATGAACAAGACTTCTTGCCCTGTTGAAAATTTCTACTCCTTTCAAATTGTTTAAAGAAAAATCTACTTTTTAAATCATTGTACGATTTCTTATTTCTTGTAAGATTTCATTTGAATCTGCTTGAAAAAAGCCTCCATAGTGCAATTTTTATCATTTAATTAAAAAAAAAAAAAAATTTAATTTTCAGTTCTTTTTCATGAATTTTGCATTTGAATATTCAAATTCGAAAAATAACATTCAAATATTCAACAATCGTTCAAATATTTGGTTATTCGAATATTCGGCACAGCCCTAGACACCAGCTCATGCACGTCACTCCTTTGTCTTCTGTTTCCAGATTTTGATGCAAACTTATGCAAATATTCTGGCGCTTCCCGAGTCACATTAAGGTCAAAAACCCCATTTCAAGATTCATACTAAATAGACACCCATCATCATCATCTAGAAAGTCTTCCAAAGTTGTTTCAAACTGTCAAGTGACTGTGTAGCATTGTGGGCATGCTATATCCTAATTTCCTCAAGAATATAAAACCGGCAGGATACCTTTGGAATCACTACCTGCTACCAGTCCCTACAACATGTACATGCAGACGACATCTGCAAGACGTCTGGCAACTTGGTGAGTTCCATTTACGATGAATTGTTGAAAGGGTCCGTTAGCAAGAGTACACTGTCCGCCCATAAATGACGAGGCCTATCACATAAACCAGGGAGCAATTAAATACAAACTAACGCCATGGGCAATACAGCAAGATCGAATTCATGCGTGTCACATCATGCGTCCATTTTGCAGTTCAGTCTGAAAAGTTGATGCTGAAACATCAAGATACAAACCTAAAAACGACATAAGGCAAACCCTTGTTTTTTGTTCTCTGTATCTGTCAGGTGGCAAAATTAGCACGACTATATGGGCTGGGGAAACAATGGTGTCAAGTGATGTTCTGAATTTCTGGTACGGACATTACCCTAGTACTACCCGGTACTTTTCCTTGTAGTGGTTTATCATTAGCCATCAGAAGGTGATATGCTCTAAAAAATCAAATTCAGCAGTGAAAATATGAAAACATTTTTAATACGCCTACTTAAACACATTAAAAAACATTTGACCAGTCTTAGCTTACAAAGAGTTCCATACACGGACGTACGCCAGCAGTAATTATTCCCTACAGTGAACATGGTAACATGTCAGCCGTCAGAAAGCAAAAACATGTCCAGAAAAGTTCAATTTTAGAGGGTCCGAGTCGTTTCCTTACAAAACAGAATTTTTCAGAGTTAGTAAGCCAGTACTATACATATACAGTCAGATGGTCAGCAGGCATGGATGGTGGGGTTTGTGTACATACAGGATGTCACGCAGCGTTCGCATTGTTATAGAACTCTTTCTCATGCCTGATATGCAACTCTTTCCTTTCAAAAAAATACCGTTCCAACGGTACTTAAATTGTTGATGAATTCTTGCAAAACCTGGAAAATGCCGGACTACCTACCCGCAAACCATACATGTACATGGACGCCGCCACACTCGCTGACAATGAAAACAGAAACGCTGTACCAGTGTCAGATATGCAAAAGCATGAAGAAGTAATAACCTAGCCTGGCCAACCTTGGGCTAACGTCGTCTTTTTTAACGCAAAAAGCACGCACGTTAAAGGTATCTACTTGTTCTACGTTATTTACAGTACATCACAGACAGCACTCTTTTTGATAAAAGGCGAGTGATAATAGGGTTCCAAACAATTTGAACACAAGTGACTCACCCCAACAACCCGTCCGATTCGCGCGGAAACTCCGCTCAGCTCTGAATATTAATGCTGCGCGGCCGGCCGGCCGGCCGGCGCTAGATCCTGCACGGTGCTTTGTTTTTTACAGCATTATATAGTCAGTTGTTAAGTTGGACCATACAGTCCTTGGTTGGACTTTTGTTTTTAAAAACGCATCTGTCTAAGGTAACATCTAAACTGTTGTGTAAGACAGTATCAGGACATTTGTTACTAACCGAATCAAGTTCAATACGCTAAATCGGGCCTAAATAGTTTCTGTGACTATACTCGGTTGTAGAAAGAAACGTACGATACTGGAAAGTCCCTCTGACGTAATTCAAAGACCGATACATGCCGCACGCATGCCGTGCTGCGCTTACCGGCAACTTTACACATTATCAAACCTTGAAAACGTTTTAAGCACAGCCAGTGCAAATGTTTTACACTTCCATACATACTACACCACGATTTCTTAACTTCGTGGATCCCAATCAAATGACATGAGATAGGCCCTACATCTTTTAAAAATGACCCTACTCAAAAATCGACCCGCCCCCATCGAATTAATGGTGACCAATAAAAATTGAACCTCGATCCACAAGTGGCATTTTTTTCTAACTAAAATTACGCGCGCAAATGTAACGCTCGGAGCCGGGAACGAGGAAAACACGTGTACATCGAACGATATTAGATGTCAAAGATCAAAGTAACAAGCTTGAAGAGGGAGGCGGGGGCGAATTTCTTGTCGTATTTTCGCCAGGACCCGGATCCGGATATAGGCCCTACTCGTGTGTGGATCCGTGTTAAATGGTTAAATAATCTGTTATTCGCACTGTACCGAGCAAGATAGGCTCCGAGTTTCAACCCAACCACGTTTTACTCAGTTATTTTATTGGTCTTGAAGGATTGGACACGGACAAGAAAGGTAGGTCTCAGCTGTAATATGACAGCTAAAGTAATGATATTCGGAGTCGTAAGTTTTGACATAGGCTACTCTTTTGTTCGTGACTTGTGTACAAACATGACAAATGTCATGTCACTGGTCATAGGGCTAGATGAACAGATGAAGTGTCACATTTTAGATGAATTGTGTCAAGTGCGAGACACATTGACTTGGATAATGTAAAGACATTTCCCACAGACATTGGTCAACCCATGGAGGAGCCCTCCTCCATGGTCAACCCAACTGCAGTACTACAGTTGGGACTGTCCCAAAGTAGTTAGGACTTATGCTATATAGTAGACATGCTCTGTAAAATGCTATTTTGAGTGGGAATTGTAAAACCATCTGACCACGTTGAAAACAGGTGTTTTTTTATTTTAAAATAATGTTTGTGTTTGCACCTTTATCTTTGGTAAGAGAAATCTTCCGAACCAGAATTTACAGAAATAAAAATATTTCATTTTTACAGCGACTATCTGTTTGAACTAGAAAAGTAGGCCCAGGCCTACTTAGTGCATTACATTAGGCTAAGCAAAGATAAAGGAAAAAAAATTCATCCTTGACCATAACAACTGTTTTTTCTTTTATTTGTGTTCGTCTGTCCCATTGGTATTACTTCTTCACTGTTTTTCTAGTTCTAAGCCTTATCACTAACACTGCTCGAGTGATTGTGCCCAATTTCCCCCAGATGGCACAATGCCTTTTTACCATTGTGCAAAATCACCGATGCAATATTAACAATAAGACATGTGAGATTTTTAAGAGCTCTGAAGAGGGGAAATATTTCATTTTTTCACCATCTTACATTTACTTATTTCCAAATATATGAGAGGAAGATTTTACAGCCAATCCTTGCCACAAGCTTAAACTGTACTTGGATTCAAAATCACCAGGGACCGATTTATGCACAACTGAACCATTCAAAGTTGTTTCCTGTGCGTGGTTCTGCACTTACGCAGGTTCCGTCTCAGGGCTCAAAACACCCCGGGTTATTCACTAAATAGCTGGTGCATCGCAGCAAGCAACTCGCCATGGACAAGTGGGTGTGCCGACGGAGGGGACAGCAGCAGACGGGAGACAGTAGCTGTCGCTTGTTCTTCTTCCCCTGGGGAGGCGGGGGAACGGGGCTGTACAACAGCTGGGCCAAGTTCTTCCCGGAGAGCATAGAGGGTGAGCCTGTCGCAGTGAAATTTGGGATCTGCCAGAACAAGGCAATACTTCCAAGTTTGGGTGACTTGGAGACCACTAAACCTAGGGGACATTCCAAGATTCATTGATTTCAGATCTTCCAGAATGAGGTGACAAGTTTTTTGCAAGTTCAGATATGCTGAATCCAAGAGAATCTCAAAATTTGTATACCGTTGATGCTGACTTACTTTTCTCTGTGCAACAGTGGGGTACTGGCTCAGAGTATTGTGTTGGGAGGTCAGTTACACAGTTGCTTGTATTTTTTTTAATTAGCTGGTAGTTCTGCTGATTAACCCTAACCCCCCAAGGGTTGCTGGCCCTAACCTTCTTCATTCACACCAAGTTAAACACCCATATGGGACTTTGTGCACAGGGGCTGTTGGACTTTGTTTTTCAAGGGGCCTACCAGACCTATCCCCACAGAATTAAACACTTTACTACTGTTTAATTCTGTGTGGTTGGGGAAGGTTAGGGTTAAATGAGTGTTTTTCGATCATTTCACTATGAGAGACAAATCTAAGGGAAATTGCCATAGACACGTGTGTAATCGTCATCCACAGCCAAGTAATGTGGACACAGCCTATGGCCGCCCCAAACTTGGCAAGCCCTCACACAGCACCCCATCTCTCTTGACCCCAAAAACTAAGACGGTCTCCGCACTGAACAAACAAAAATCAATACTTCCTGTGTCCTTTTTGCCTATCTTTACAGTGAATGTCGTCTGCTTGCCGGGCCGCGAATTCCGCTTCAAGGAAACCCCCTACACCAATTTGGACGTGTTGATTGCCGACCTGTGTAAGGATTTCCTCCCAAGCCTGCAAGAGAAACCGTTTGCATTCTTTGGACACAGGTACGGAGGAGACAATGAAAGAATTGCATCTTAAATTTTCCTTGATGTCTTATCATGATATTCCATCTAAGGGACATCATTAACACACTAAAAAACATGCTTCATGGTGCTCATGGTAATATGCATATCTCTATTACTCTCAGCTTTCTGTGGCTTCATCAATTGAAATTGAATATCTGGAGGCAATACCCGAATTTGTCATTTTGCTCCAAATATGCAACAGTCTCATTTTAAAAAATAGCTCAATTTAGAAATCACGACAAGCAACTTTCAGTGCTGTACACTTGGTTTGTTTGCATTGGAATAAAATGTCCGTCTGCAAAGCTATTTTTAATTTCATTTTTGGATTTTACGTGAACAGTTTGGGTGCTATTATATCCTTCGAGTTGGCGTGCTACCTTAAAACCCACCACAACATTGAGCCGGCATGCTTGTTCCTGTCTGGGGCGACGGGACCTTACGTATGTACCCATTGGCCTTTCTGTAGTTTTGCAAACACACAAAGAGTAGATAGGATCATGGATGGGATCCTTCTTCGGAGTTGTCTGTTGGTGGGGAAAGAGAGCATGTAAAAATTATCAAACTATAAGGAAGGCTTCAAAAATAGTTTCTGGAACAAATAAAAGAACACGTGAGCAGAGCCCAGTTAGTAGGGTTCTCCCAGTAATTAACAGAAACCGAGACGCTCTCTGTGCCGTTCTAAGTTTACGAAACTAATTGATAAATTACCAAAAACGATGCAAAGCTAAAAGTTCACAACTGCAAAACGCAATCAAAAAGTAGGTGTGCACTCTCTAGCAGTGACCGTGCAAGCAACATTCACAAAAGTGTCACAAAACATCTTACACCGTCAGTCCAAAGTCCGCCAAGAGATGGTCTCCGACAAGCCCGTGGACCAACTCACGGAGGAGGAGTTCCTCCAGAAGCTGGAGAAACTAGGCGGGACGCCAAAAGACGTCCTGGCGCAGCCCAACCTGCTCAAGCTCTTCATCCCTTGCATCAAGGCTGACCTCATGATGCTGCAACACTACGGGTAAGTGAGCAACCGTAAGCCTCAATTCGTGGAGGTTCTGACGGCAGTGATGGGCTTGACGGTACATACATCAGTCCACACGGAATAAAACAGTGCCAACAACCTTCCCGGGTCCCGTGCACTCCACGACCTTGCGGCTGGCCGACAGAATAGTCTCTGTAGTTTGACCACAATAGGATGATGACCATTCTGTGAAAGGACATTGACCTTTCTGTGAAGGAAGGTGTACGAAATGTACTGACCATGGTCTCGCCAGGCCTTCAAAAATCTAGCAAATTTAGAAGCATACAACTTACCTTCCTGTCTACCAGATCACACTTTCTGAAAGTGAAGCCTCGTCCCATATCAATTTGTTGTGAACAGCATGTACTGTTTCAAACATTGAGATCAGAAAGGACTAAACTTTGAACGACAGAGGATAGATGTACAATTTGCTAAACTGTCATTGACTTCAGAATCTCTTTTGTTTCATCCTGTTATAGGAAAGAGGCCCCAGCTGTGCCCATCATCAGCTGTCCCGTCAACTTTTTTGAAGGTGCCGAGGACACCAGCAGAGATCACGACATAGAGAGTGAGTTACCAGCAGCTACATTGTTGTGTACAGAACCGACAAGGAACTAAGAGTTCAAACTGGGAAATCTTTTTCGGCACTGTGGCATTTTGCAGGAACAAGCATCCAAAATGTGTTAACGTAAAAAGAGACACGGCTCACATTAGGCAGCCTTCAGAATTATTCGTTTGATTTGTCTTTGTCCAATAGCGTGTTTTGAACACTTCAGACAGGACAAGAGTGAGATTTCAATAATACGGTCTGCTGTTTTGATGTCACAAGTCTTGTTGTTTTCCTACAAGTAGCTGCTATAACTATGGCTGGCCATCAGGACAAAATTAAAACTACCATTCCCAAAGTGTTACGTTAAAAGAAATCTGACGCAGCTATCAGAACACCAGATAATGATACATGAACCATAAAATACCACCAAAAATACAACTCTGATTAAAATCAATGGGACAGATGTCTGTTTTGAACGAGTTTGAGATAAAATCCAAAACCAACCAAAAGGTGATATTTCTGCCAAGTTGGCCGCCTGCACAAGTTAGCCAAATGAGAGTGGTCTGTTAGAGCTTGAGAAAGAGTTACACAACTTTGTTTAACATCAGAAAGAGGATATTTGGACGGAGAGAAAGTTCCATATTTTGAATGTGGTACTCTGAAAATATCCCTTGCTTACAAAAGAAATATTGATATTTTTTTTTTTCCCACTTCTCACCACAGGTTGGAAGACAGTCAGCTCTGGTCCATTTAATATTCAGTATCTGCCCGGGGGACACTTTTATCTCCAGCAGCGAGACAATGCAGGCAAGATGATCAAATCTATGGCCGAGGCCCTCACGCCTTCGTAAATACACACCCACCAACACTCGGCATACATGCAGGGTAGCGAGCCAAGGGTCTACTCTTTCCCAGTCGGTTTGTGTTTTTGCCCAACACAGGCTTGGACACTACGACCAGCAAAAAAATAACTCACTAAAGGTTACAAAATCTCTTGCAGCTATCATAAACTCCAAATACACCTGGCGATGACCACCGCCAAATGACAATGTAAGACTCTTTAAATGTAACGGTGAAAATGATACTTTTTTCAGTGGAATCGGTCACCAACCATGGGCGGTGCCTGTATATCTGCGATCTCCGGCCAGCTGTAGGAATAACAGCCACTGCTATAGCAGTCTATTGGACAGTCTTAATTTTAACGCTTTGATTTCAGTTGCATTCCTGTAAAAATGCCCTCCATTTTTTTTTTACATTCGTGTGAGACAGACACTCGTTTTTCATCTATCTACATGTACACGTATGGGATATTCCACCTTTCATTTCGGAGTAAAAAACACCAGATGTTAGGAATATGATTTCAAAGGAGTATATTTTAGCAACTCTCTTCAAAAAGGGTGCAACCTTGCACCAATATCTCTGCACATCTTTCCTAGTATACTTTCTGGTTTTCTGCATCATAGCGTAGATTGAACTTTTTGTTAAATAAGCTTACACAATATTTAGTGAACTTAATGTACTACAAAATGAAATAAAACAACTCTTTTTTTTTTTCGAAATTCTTTTTTTTAAATAAATGGGAAATTTATTTTTTTTATTATAGCACTTATTCATTTTTTGGTTTAAGAATAAGTTAACAATTATATTACAAAAGTTGTAAGAAAAGTACAAAATATATATTTTTTAAAACATTGATACTGTTGAAATTGGATGCAAAACTTTGCTACAGTCCTTGGAATATATTTCATAAATGTACAAAACAGTACTCATCCAGTTCACAGTTAATGAATTGTCTTACTCGGGCGTTTTTGGCAGGTTGAGCAAACCTTACCAGCAGAGTAAATTTATGGACGTTGTGTTGACAGATAAGACATCTCCCTGATTCTAGCACTGAAACCTGACTGCCATTATTTTAATAGCTGTCTGATTAATTCTCTAGATTACATAATTTACGTATGTTCGATGATTATAAGTGACACTTTTTTCAAAATTCTATTTGGGATTGGTCCATCAATTATAAAAAAAGTGTAAACTCCTTATTAAAATGTCAATTTTTGTCCCAATCATGAAATGGTGTTTCTGGTGTTTTTAATCTTGCTCATTTTTGGGGTAGCACCTTGCAAAGTACGAGTACGTGTGGTTCTGAAAAGAACCGGGAGTATACTGAAGAGATGCTGATGATGAAGATGTCTTCCTGAGCACTCAGTCCGAAACCTTGAGTGTACTCCCCGTTCTTATCAGAACCACACATACTCATTAGAGATGTATTCCTTCGCATGGTGCTACCACAAGCCTTTCCACCTGTTGCTGTCTTTCACCGTGAACAGCCTGAAATTCTATCCAAGTTCGCTGGGGTCGAGGGGAACCAATAAACTTCTGTTCCGGTATCAACATTAGCCCGACTCACTCCAACTTATCTTGATACTTTATACGTTCATGGATTTAGAGTTCATTGTTTTTAGATGCTTAGCTCAAATTGATTTGTTTTGCACTGAAACTTAAGCCAGCAAGTTTAAGCTTAAGCAGTTTTGTCCTGTGTATTTCTCCGAAAGGCAAGAAAACTTTAGAAAATACGTACAATATAAAAACCCCATAAATGATAACAGAGACAAGAAAGTCTGAAGTCACATTAATTTGAAATACATGAACACATCAAATACTTTCCTATACAAAGACTCCCTGTTCTCCTACCCAATGATTGTTTACTCTCTAATCAAAACAAACACAGATGGTAAAACCACATTTCAGAACTCAATCCACGCATGTAAATATTTCTGGGTTTAAGGTTGGTTGGGGCTCACTGTCAGAGTGACCCAGCAAGAATGGAATTGGACTCACTCTAGGAAGGTCTGTCGGACTCCCCGGTTGACAGGATAGTGGTAGGTCACGTCGCGGCCGTACGCCATCCACATCAGGCAGGCAAACAGGGTGGAGTACATGATCACATCCCTGCAGAGATCAAGGGGCAAAAGGCGGACGTTAATCTATCGGCACACACATATTGCACTGCTTGCTGGAGTGTTATGGTTTCTATCTAGAAAATGCTCCAAGCGTGCTCTACAAAAATGGTTTATTCACTTGCTTACAGTTTATAAGTTCTTTCTCTTGTAATTGTTAAATAGCATAATTTTGTAGCTTCGATTTCAGTTACATTTCTGTAAACCCCCCCCTTTTTGTAAACATTGCATAGGTTTGCTACTCAGTTTTGATCAACCTATGGGATATTCCATCTTTCATTTCTCTGAGTAAATGACACCCGATGTTATGAATATGATATCAGATGAGTACATGTCAGCAGCAATTCTCTTTGAAGAGGGTGTATCCTTGCACCAAAAAGCCATTTGCGAGTAACTTTGTACAAAATCTGGTACACTGTGCTATATTACTTCACATAAACGTAACAATTCGAATTCCCCAGACTAAAGACACTGTTGCTATACCTTGTGATTTGGGGCAAGCTTTTGCTTAGTTACGTAAGAGATGTCTGGCATCAATACACTGTTTTCAATGGACGTAGGGCAAAAGGAACCAGTCTATTCCAGAGATGGTGGTGGCTATGCAAAAGCTTGCCCCGAATCACGAGGTACAGTGTTTTAGTCTGAGGAATTCGAATTATGTTTATGTGAAATAAGACAGCACAGTGTACTAGATTTGGTTCAAAGGCTACGCGAAATGGCTTCTTTCTCTGCATTTCATTCTTGGTATGCTTTCTAGTCACTTCATCCAAGAGCAGAGTACACCTTTTGATAATTAGGCTTATGCACTATTAAGTGAACTTAGTTTCCTTCAAATCTAAATAAAAGTCAACCCCTTTTTTTCCTAAAATCCTGCAAAATAAATTGGAAAAATGTGGGAACTTTATATTGTTCTTTACATCGTTTTATTCATTCTTTTTAAAAAAAAAGAATAAGTTAACTCAATTATATTACAAAAGTTGTATTAAAAAGTACAAAGATATGTTGTTTTATGTAAAATTAATACTGTTGAAATTGGATACAAAACTTTGCTACAGGTCTACGAGTATATTTCATAAATATACAAACCAGCACTTTCTACTTTTCTGGTTCAAAACTAAGGAAATAGTTTTAATCAGACATCTTTGGTGGGTTAGACTCTCATTATATTTCAAAATTTCAGTTGAGTAAACCTTGCCAGCAGAGTAAATCTATGGACGCAATGTGGACAGATAAAACATCTCTGTGACATAAATTGCTGCTGAAACTTAATATCTGATTTAGTGCCACCATTTAATGAACCATTTCATCAATGTAAGAAACAATCGCTGAAATAAACAATTTATATATGTACTTTGATTATAATTGGCAGCTCTTCACGTTTCTATTTGGGACTAATCTATCAATTATTTAAAAAATATAAAGCTCCTTAATTAACCCCTTCACAGCGGAATTCTTTTGACCGTGACTGCTGGGCTGCGGTATGCCCAGTATGCAAGGCTCTGTCCAGCAGCAGGCCCACATTGAAACTGCAGGTGCATTATGAACAGAGTGTATGTGTGCTATGCACTCATCCTCACACAAAGCCATGGCTGTCGATGTCTCTGGAGCGAAGGGGTTAAAACATTAACTTTTGTCCCAATCAAGAAATGGTATTTCCAGTGGTGATCCTTGACACTTCACAAAGCCTAGGTAGATGAAAACAATTTACATTAAAGACAAGAGTATTTTGTATAAATGTACTACTTCTCTTAGGCTTGGCTTGCCTATGGAAGGTTGAGTAACATGAACAGAATATTTGTGAAAATTCACTTTCAATTTGTACAGTTCGAAAATTTGATTGTAAAATCCTGTACAGAAGATCACATGGCAGCTTCATTGTACAGATGATTTTTTTTTCACAATAATAAAAATAAAACAAATGAATGCAATGCAATGGTGGAAATTTTAGTAAGCACACATTGTTAGTTCATCACATAATAAGCGCTGTAAGTGTCTTGCCCCTAATTTATTCACAGTGACTTAATTATAAAAGATGTAATCTAATTCACTATTTTTTTTATAAAATGTTGACAGCGGTTTTGGAAATCCAATTTTATCACTTTGATTGGTTGATTTTGGTGTCATATTCTTTCATTGTGCATTGCTGGTCCCATTTGAATGACTGGTATGTCGTCTTCGCTGTCTGTGCTGAATGCGTCGTTCACGTAGGCCGCCTCCTCGCATCGTCTGTGCCCTTTGCCCTTGCCGCGAGACCGTGTCTTTCGTAGTCGGTGTCTGGCATCTGACTCCTTGCTCCCTCTCTGCAGCTTGGCCGACTTCCTGTCTTCGTTGTCAGAGCTGGATGACAGACCATCTAAAGCGTTGGGTAGTGGGAAGCTCTCCACACTGACGGCTCTTTCAACGGCTGGTCTGCTCCCCTCTGGGTAATCACGCACCAGCTGCTCCAGGTCGACCTTTTGGGGTTCTGGGTTCTTGCGGACGGCGCGCCCGATGTGGGACCATGCCAGTGCTGCATCAACCTGCGAGGTCACCACGTCGCTGGCGTGGGACGACAGCGAGTCTGTCCTGTGGACGTAGCTGGACGATGAGCTGCTGTGCGAGTCCAGCACCTCAGAACTGGACAGCAGCGGCTGGTCGCGCCTCGCCAAAGACGCTGACGTCGGTTTGAGCCGGTGCTCTCCTGTCTTCCGCCTTTCGGCCGTGCTCGCAGTGTACGGCCTCCTAGTCATGTCACTTGTACTCTGGGATGAGTCTGTCTGTCTGTCCTGGGTTTTGGCCACCCTAGTCATTCCCCGAGGGGCAACGTGTCCCTGACCACTGGGCAGTTCTTGAGAAGAGCTCGGCTGGTCCCAAGCTTGCTTCAGGTTCGTGAAAATAGCTAGAGGGGGCCGCACAGGCAGTGGCTGTGTTTCTAAAGTACCTATCAACACAGTTGAAGAAAACAAATCGAAAACTGAAACTTTCCTCACAGCAGGAACAACAGACAACTGCTTTGTTTTTAGGTATATGGACTTGCTTGGCCAAAACAAATCAAGAAAGTTGTAAATTGATATTGAAGGTCTGAAGGTTTGAATCAGATAGAAAGACTCTACAACTAAGGCTTGATAATATAAGATCACATTCCTTTTTATGGCACGGAAAAAAGTAGACACACAGCAAATGAGAATTCAAAGGCAACGATGAAAGCTAACAAGCTAAGCCAAAACAAGAAATGAGGCCAAGGGTAGTTTAATGAGTGGAAAAGCTATCAGTTGAATCCAACAACACTCCACTTCAGAGACATAAGGTAAAATATGGTATATGGGCTCCAAAGGTAACAACGGCACCCAAATGGGTACCAAAGGTAATCACATTTCAAGGGGTTGATTTCACAAAGCTGCCTTCCACAGTATTTGCTAGGCAAAATATGGGTTACCAACTAAACGGAATGCAATATACACTGCCTGCGGCTGGTACTTAGCAGTGTTTCGTGCCGAGTGTAGATGAGGCCATGATTTACCTAGATTGGCCACCGGCCTGGGGAAGCTGGGCCGGCCCTGGGCATCGCGGACACTGAGCGGCGCCTGTGGCTGACGGTCAAGGGAGACATCATCGCTACCCAGCTCCAGGTGCTCCGAGGTGGACTGGGTGTCATGGCCACTGTCATGCAGCTCCTGCTGCAGTCGGTACTCCTCCTGCCGCTGCATCTGCAGCTGCCGGAAGATCTCAAGCTCCAGTTGGGCCCTGCCACGGTGGGAAGGGGAGAGTTAGAGATTCAAAATCAGACCTTGGCAGTTTGAGACCTACCGTTTCATTCACTTCTAGGGTACAATATAAAAAGCTTTATCTCGGCGACTACCGACCCAGTTGAGCCCCAATGGAAGAGTCAGAGTGCCCCCACGTAGTTGGTGAACAACAACTTCATTCCCTTTGAGATTGCAATTTAAGAAAAGCTGCATGTTACTGCCCTATGAGAAAAGGTTCCAACTGGCCCACGTAGTTCAAGATCAACAAATTCATCGAGGCAGAATCGTGAAAAAAGCTGAATCTCAGTAAGCTTTTAAGTAGCACAGTTTCACCTCGACTCCTTTGACCATTATCACTAACCTTCCCAAACCCTCCTCCGGAAAAATTAACCAAAGCCACAGTGTCTGTGCTTTTACTGGACATCAAGCCCCAACATCATGTACTAATATCATGGCTGTGTATTCCTCACATCCAAAAAAAAATCCTCAAAGACCTCTTGGTGGAAACTGAAACATATAGCAGTGGCTTGGGTAAATGAACCGTGAGAAGACGGTCCAGAAATCTGATGCAGTTCGGGAGGGCTGTACTTTATTTGCTTGAAGCGAATTGCTGACTAACCTGAGTTGTTTCTCACGGTCTTCGTCTGTGAAGCAGTTCCCGTCCAGTAGTTCCCGCATTTCAGGATTGTGACCATAGAGCTGCGTCTCGATCTTCTGCACTCGATCCTCCAGGCGGACGTGGTCAAAGAGATTGAGCTACGAACGACAGAAACGGGAGCAGCTTAAGTCTAGTTGTATTGACAAGATCTGTGTCTAGTCTTTCTCACTCAAATTCTCAGCACAGCTACTCACAGTTGATCACATGAAGCCATGAATATTGCAAGGGGGGGTAGGGGAAGGTGTCCCCCCTCCAAAAAAGGAAAAAAAACTAAGAAACAGTGAGAGAAATGAAAAAAGGACTTGGCCCCTTCCACCACTAACAGCTTATCAGCGTGCTGCTGTTAGATGTTTTATACCCTCTTTGGACAAAATCCTGCCCACCTCCCTCCCCCCCGGAAAACAGAATGTCATAAGACTGTCAAGATATGAAAATCTATACTACCCCAGCAGAGGTCAGACAGCTACCCTACCAAAACAGTTAACCCATGCTTAAAACAAACGTAAGTTGTGATAAATTTTGTGCCAGGGGTGGTGGAAATCTTCACGTTGGGTTTTGCCCTACACTGATATACTGTTGGAAGGTACCTCCGAGCACGAGCTGGATATTCCGTCCTCCATCATGTTGTGAATGCCGTCTGAGTCTTCGAAGTACCCGTAGGGCTTGGCAGGCAAGCCATGCTGGTGGGTGATGGCGTTCATGCGGAAGAGCAGCTCGTCCACCTGGTACTCGATCTCAGCCATGGTAAACTCCTGCGAGAGACCAATGATCGGCATGCACAAACCCTTTGTTTTTGCTTCAATAACCTACTATGGTTTTGCTACTACTAGCTGTGTAGGGCTTTTAGGCCCCACAAAAGAATTAATGATCAAGATTTTAAAAAATTGGCAACCAACCACCAAAACAATTCCAATTATTTCAATTTTGTTGAAGCAATATTCAAAATCACTATGCAGTGGAAGAATGACATATCCAAGCTGGGGTGGATGTGTCGCATTATGTGTTCCCAAACGCCAAAAACTCTAATTAGAAATGTGCCGGGTCTGATCTTCTGCAAGGCCCGGTCCCATACACGAATTGCCGTGTGACAATGGCTTAGCTAAATACCAGTACCCTGAGTCTGGGAGTGCCTGGGTGGGAGTTCCAGCTTACCGTTGGCAGTGCCGTGGGCTTGTCCTCGTCAGGCACGTCCCTCAGGCCCACGCGCACCAGGAACTTGTTCCAGAAGAAGCGGACCACCTCCTGGCCTCCGACCGCCTCCACCTGGTGCTGCTTGACCTGCTTGTAGCTGTGGCACAGGATGGCTTTGATCTGGAAGACACAGCCAAACACTCTCAATTTGGTTTCTAGGCTTTTAATTCAAGATCCGAAAGTCTGTGGGGCATAGTAGCCAGCAGGTCAGACGGGCCTACACAACACCGATGCCAAGCCTCCCCCCCCCAAAAAAAACAACCTGGAACACTTCACCGGTTGGCTGGTAATGTGGATCAGGAAAAACCAGACAAAAATGCCAGCACAAATTGCTGCATTTCTAAAACATAAAAGTCATTACGTAAGAAGTGCTCTCCAGTTGCGATTCTACCAATATAGGACTAAGTGTTACACTTGATTGCTGAGAAAATTCCCCATTATGACTGTACACCTCAGAACTTAATCTGGTGAGCTCACTGTGAAGAGAGGCCTATCTGTGCTCTCCAAGCTTGAATTGCTGTACCTTCAGAGAAAGCCGGGGGACTCTGAGACTCAGGGGGACTCTGACACTCAGGTGGACTCATAAGCAGAGGCTAGGTATTGATTATGATACTCGGTACTCACTCAACAACTCATCTAACTCAATCGCTCAATTCTGGACTCGAGAGGCAAAATCTTTTTAATTCAAAGTGCTGCTCAGGTTCAACCAATTACGAGCAACACTCGTGCACTGGGCTTACAATCTAAGCTCGGCATTAAGACACCACACCTCACCGTGACTTGTCTGAAATTTACGCAAACTCCACATTTGACCGTCATGAGGATCGAGTATATAATACTTACCAATCCTGCCATGACAATGATCATGCTGACCACGTAGGCAACGTAGAACAAATGCCACAGGACAGGGAACTCGGCCGCTAGGTCTTCGTGGTGCGGTGGATGACCCACGACCATGGCATTCAGGAGATTGGTGGACACGTACAGGTGCTTCAAGGGGTAGAAATGGGTGGAGAAGAGCAGGACGCCCAGGCAGGCAAAGGCAGCCTCCAGGACAAGCATGTATAGCTGTTAGACAAGGTTATCCCAAAAAAGGTATAATTAGGGGCGTAAAGGGGTACAAATGGGTATAGAAGAGCAGGACACTCAGGCAAGCATGCACAGCTGTTGGGAAAAGGTTTACCCAAAAGGGTATCATTCTGGGCGTACTAGGGTGCAAGTGGGTGGAAAAGAGCAGTGTGCCTATTTAGTTCTGTCTCCCCTCTGATTCTGGTATCAGTGCCTCTTACCGCAAAAGTCAGGATTTCCTTGATGGCTCCATCAATCACGGCCCCAAACATGGCCACTGTCTGGTTGAAGCGCAGCAGACGCAGGAACTTGACTGAAGCTAGGAAGATCAAACTGGCCAGCAGGTCCTTCAGTATCTGCGGGCAAAGAACAGGCTTTCATTAAAACGGACAAGACAAGAAAGGAGGGAAAAAGTAAAGAAACCAGCAGCATTTGACAACTTTTTCTGGCCTTTTTGGAGGTGATTTGTAAGTGGGGAGCCGCACAAATATTAACTGATGTTTCCATTAAATATTTCAATATTATGCAAAGATATTTATTTTCATTTCAGAGAGTGGTGGGATAAATGGAGTTGCTGAGAGAACGGATTTTTCTTGGTAGGGATGGAGCACGGTTGCAGCTTAGTTGATGGCAACGTGTCGCTGTAACTTCAGGGAAGGGGCAACCTGTGGGATGGGGTGGGAATTTGGGTATGGTCGGGGCACTCTGAAGTGGTTTCGAAGGACTTGGGAGAGCCAACCTGATCCCAGTAGGCCAGGAGAGAAAAGTCCACAAACTCCTCCGAGTAGGTCTCTCGCAGGTGCTGGGTGGCATCGTTGACGTACATGAAGCGGCAGACGTACATGGCAAAGTAGGCCAGGGAAAGAATTATCATGCCCATCTAGGGGAGGGAAAAAACCACCACTTGGTAAGCATGAAAGCTAGCTACTAGGGGTGTGAGTCACCTGAACAAAACCCCTGAAATCTAAAATGTTTCCATGGTTTTTGTACAGAGGTGTACAAAAAAAGCTGAACTTCAGAGTACAAATCTGAACAAAAGCGACTGAAAGCTGCTACAAAGCTGAATTCTCAGCTGAACCCTAGTGGGAACTCCACAAATTCTCAAAAAAAAAAAACCTCCACTGTGCAGAAAACCAATGGTATATTCTGGGAACTGAAACTCTATTCAATACAGTGCTCTTAACCCTAACCCCCCAAGGGTTGCTGGCCCTAACCTTCCCCATTCACACAAAGTTGAAAACTCATTTGGGACTTTGTGCACAGAGGCTGTAGGACTTTGTTTTTCTGAGGTATACTAAACCCAATGCAAAAGCCAGCTGTCTGGGCCCACCAGACCTATCCCCACAGAATTATACACTTTACTACTGTTTAATTTTGTGTGGTTGGGGAAGGTTAGGGTTAAGGTTGGAAAAGGATTTCCTAGGATTTCTTCTAATGGGCAAACCACCTTTTCAAACCAGTAAATACTAACTTCTGTGGCACTTGGGCCATTCTTCGGTTGCTAAGAATCTTTCACTATTTCAACAATAGGCCATCCAATTGACAGGACCAGATAGCCTTTTTTTTCAGTTAGCAACTAAATGGTTCTCAATCTTTTTTACAGAGACATAAAATCCCAAATCTGAGTTTCTGATCAAGTGTTAATGTGATTAGGAACTCAAGAGCCAAGCCGCTACACAGATTAGGGTTGAGGGTCATCCAAAGAAGCTCCATCTTACACTGTGTATGCTTTGGATTGTTTTACCCTTTTGTGTAAGCCAGGGTTCCCACAGAAATCTAAAAAAGAACTTCCATGACTTTTCCAGGACTTATCGCCATTTTATGAAGAAAAGATTTTCTGGTTTTATGAACTTGGTGATTACCGTAGCCACTACTACTGAGTGACAAGGCTACATAAATTTTTCGTTATTTCGTTATCACATCCAAATCAGACTGACTTCCATGATTTTCCATGGCAACAGAATTCCAACACACTCTATGTTTATCCCAGTTTTCCCCTGCCTTTTCCCATGACTTTCCCGGACAAATGTTTTTCCCCCAGCATTTTCTGTGACCGTGGGAACCCTGATTAGCCCACCTCCATCCAGGACCAGATGCTCTTGAAAAACTTGGCTCTGATCTTCACCAGCTTCTGGACCTCTCGCTTGCCCGAAACAGCCACGATGAGGAGGAAGAGAAGCTACAAGGCAGAGGAGAAATAAGTCACCATTTTCAGATCAAAATTTTTTTCGGAAGAAAGATTCACCGTACCGCAGTGGGATTTGAACCTGCGACCCCCTGTCTTGAATACCACTGGGGAGCTCCACATAGATTCACATTGTATTCTAGGTGTGTTCTCAGTGTGTTGCGAAAAAAATTAAAAATTGTGGGACTTAAAGCTACAGCTTCCCGGTCAAGTTTGAGTCTGGTACCACGGACGTGTTTAATAAAATCTGGACTCGCAATGCCCTTAATCAGCTTATAGAGATCATTGAATCCGCTCG